CCCAGCGATTTACTCGGAAGCCAGTCCCCAACTCCGGGGACTTCCGGCCGGGGACTTTGGGTGGCAGTATACGCCGTGAAGTTGTTTGCGACCTGCCAGTAAACCCAAAGCAGAAGAAGTGACGTCAGCGGCTCATTTGCGTAATCTTCCCTCAGGGTGGTGGTTCTTCGGTTTAGCTCCGGCTCTTTTCACACCGCCCAGAGTCTGACTGGTGCTGCGTAATTGCGTCATCGTTTGTGTCATGACGTAACCGTTTGCATGCCTGCTTCATAAAGCCAAACAGCGCGGAAACCCCTCACAGCTGACACCGACAACAACAACAACAACAACAATGGCCGATTGTGCTCCAGCTTCCTCTGTACCTCTTCAGAAGACCAGATTCCCAGTAGGTAGCTGGTCTCTTCAGGACACTGGTGCTTGTTAAGTTTCTCCATCGTTGCTGTACAAAATGGATGAAAACGCGGGCTTTTTGTTGTTGTTCAGAGTTGTACTGCCATGTGTAAGATGCTTGTATGCTGTGCTCTTGCTCTTTCTGGCATATCAGTACTTTATGTTGCGTGGTTGTGGTGATACAGTGGCAGAAGGTATTGTTAGTCAGCGCACAATTGTGCAAGTTCTCCCACTGGTAAAGATGAAAGTGAGCTTGTAATTGTCATCCTACGTACTACATTCAACTATGAGAGACAATGAGAAAAAAAAAAATCCGAAAATCACCTTGGTCTGATTTTTTAAGAATTATTTTGCAATTTATGGTGAAATTAGTATTTGGTCAATTACAACAAACAGATTTCTGGCTCTACCAGACCTGTAACTTCTTCTTTAAGAGCCTGCCTCTGTCCCACTTGTTTAACTGTATTAATGGCCTGTTTGAGACTCGTTATCAGTCATNGTGGACCACTGCTGCTTGTTAAGTTTCTCCATCGTTGTGTACAAACTGGATAAAACGCCGGCTTTTTGTTGTTGTTCAGGAGTTGATCTGCCCCTGCCCCCACCTCGACGTAAGCGTGACGTATGTGGTGCTTTTGCTCTGGACGGACAATTTTTTGGTGCTTGAAACGAACCGAATTCCGGAGCTAAGAGGCTGCTCCGCTGCGGTGTGAACAGGAAAATCCGGTGCTTTTAAAGCTCCAGCTCCGAACCGGCCCTGAAACACCGTTGGTGTGAATGAGGCATAAGTGCCGTCACTAAGTACGGCAAAGTACTTGGTGTGAAAGCGGCTGTTGGTTGAGAAACAAACAAACGTGCAATCACCACTAAATGCACTTTAACACAGGGGCATCTCCTCTCTCACTTTATGTAGCTCTTGTATCTTCTCTTGCACTTTATATGTCGTAGCTGCTACATTGTACTGCCATGTGGTAAATGCTTGTATGCTGCTCTTGCTCTTTCTGCATATCATGTATTTACTTTTGCTATGTACAGTGGGGCAAAAAAGTATTTAGTCAGCCACCAATTGTGCAAGTTCTCCCACTTAAAAAGATGAG